TGAGTTTTATTTACACTCTAATACTATATAAGACTGTCGTGGAAGTGACTGGAAGACATAAAAACCATTAATGATGATTGCACACAATCACTAGCTTTCTTTTCATCGATCTATCTGCATATTAATGTATCTAACTGTCTTTCTATTTATATATATATATCTGTCTGTTGTCTTTCTATCTATTTATCTATCGTCTCTCTTTCTCTCTCTACTTTTTTCTCTCTCCCTCTCTCAACATTCTCTCTTTCTCTCTCTCTCTCTCTCTCTCTCTGTCTGTCTGTCTCTCTCTGAGAAATTAGTACCCTAGGTTACTGATATGTGTAATACCTGTCATTAATGTTATTTGCCAAGAGTAAGTCAATAATGATCGTATTGTCGACATTTTATAGCTAAATATAGCTCACCGCATGGAAAATTATGTGTGTGGATAATTACTGCAGATTAGGCACACAATTGATGAACATGAAATTCGATGAAAATGAAATGAAAATAAGAAAAACTTAAAAAAATAATTACCTGCTGATTGTTCCGCCGTCTGATTGCAATTTGGCACGGAAATCAACTTGCTTCGTATTTGATATGAGGATTTTAGAGTCAGATTTACATTTATCGTATTTATATTATTCCACGAGTCAGGGCCCAAGCTCAGAGGAAGGACGTGTTGACTTTCGAGTGTCTAAGGGGTCCCTGTCAGCAGCTTATTTATCCTAAAGGTTATTTATCAGAGAATAAACAGAATCCAAGGGCGGAGGGTACTCAACAGCTGAGTCAAATATCGTGATGGCTCCTGAGGAAGCAGAGCGCAAGAAGAGCCCGGCCTTAATCAGGTAGAGGGGCCCAAAAGGTGATACATTGGCCCTGACATTATGTGATAGAATTGTATTGATACATTACGTTCTAGACTAATTTCGAAATAATCATGCGCGCTCTCGTGCGATGGAACAAGGAGCGGTCGTAGTGAAGCAACGCCCAGCACCAGCATTCTACTTTTATGCTTGATTTGATGCCTCCAGTTACGGCTCGATTCATATGACCCAAGATTTTCCCGAACGGCCTCTTCATAAGCATCAAAGAGCAGCGTTTTCTATAGAGAAACATCAGACAGTCTCCCGTTCTGAATGGTTGAGGGGAGACTCTTGAAAAGAACAGCGTATACACTGATGCTGCCTCATTCTGGTGCTCGAAGGAGAGCCTAAAGAAAATGTGGGGGCAACACGTGAACGATTCAAACAAAAGTTGCTGCAATCCACATTTTCTTTAAAGGGGAACATTTCTAAAACTTAATTCTTATCTTATATCACAGGATTTGTTTTATAAATGCTTGGTTTCCTAGGTCTATCCAGATTGATATTGATCTCTCTTGCAAGCAATTAAGGCCTTCGTGTGCACAGTCCATTCATCTCCGTCCTCGCAATCTTGTCTTGCAGCCGGGATGCAACAAGCAATTAATCTGTCCATCGAAAAGACGATACACTTTGTGTGCTTCGAGGATCAGAAATCAGTTACATCGTTTCTGCTTTCGACTGCGCGCAACTCTTGACGATTATTTTATTTTTTCCTTTAAAGACAAGCAGGGATCGAAGCCACAAAGCGCCTCCTTACTTATTACGCTCGACGGGAGAGCCGCCATGAACTCTAGACGAGAACCCGCTTCACCCGTTCCAGTTGATGGTATTTACTGTTCGTGTTCGATTAAGCATGTGCGGCTTTGTGCTTCTGTGCTGCGGATATACTCTGTCGGGTCATTTATTGTGTAAGTGGCAAAGGAGTTCCTTCCGCTTCAGTCTTCTTCTGGCAAGAACCACATATAACACACACAGACATACAAGCACACACACACACACAAAGACACACAGATACACACACACACACACACACACACAGACACACAGACACACACACACATACACAAAGACACACATACACACACACACTTACACACAAAGACACACACACACACACACACTCACAGAAAGACACACAAAGACACACACACACACATACACAAAGGCACACACATACACACACAAACAAAGACACAGACATACAAAGACACACACACAAAGACACAAAGACACACAGACACATAAACAAACAAACATTATCCTCAATCACCGGTCATGTTAGTTTGGAGTCAACGCGGAACATAAGAGAGAAAAGCGAAAGAATGCAAGAAAGGTGAAATACAGAAATAAAAGAGAAAGAAAGAAAGAAAGAAAGAAAAGAGAGAGAAAGAAAAGAAAGAAAAAAAAAAAGAAAGAAAGAAAGAAAAAAAAAAAAATCCGATCCCTGCATTTACTATTCCACCAACATATAACATTAAATCTTATACTTATACATGGGCTCCCTCTCCCCGGACAGCCATGCAGTCGCGTCCCACCAAAGAAAAGATACAAAAAAAAAAAAAGAAAAACAGAAAGAAAAGAGAAGAAATAAAATACCATTCCGATCCCTGCGATTCCTATTCCACCAACATATATTACATCGTATACTTATACAT